ATCACCTTTGTACATTTGGGTTTAGAAATGTTGCAATTTGCTTGTCATCTGAACTAATCAGTCGAGAACTGCAACGTTTGTTTTTATCAGCGGAATCAACAACTATAAGAAGAGAATCTGGATGATTTCCGGAGTTCACCTTTGATCTCGCTCATGAAAATTCATTTTTTGTCAAGGTCGAACGTATTTGATTGTCATGCTGTTTCTCTAAGCGTCTTTTTATATTTTAGGTGACAATTAGCTCATAGTCATGATGAGATCAGGTGGTTATGGAATAATACAAAATATGGCCTTGGACCAACCGTGATTTGTAATATCTCTTTCATTTTGACTGATTCTTTTAGCTTACTACTTGGGATCTTAAGTGCAAATTCGGAACACTTTATGTGTGATTTTCAACTTCCTGGATTTATAAACAGGTATTGTTCTTTACTACTGTGCTTATTTCGAAGAACTATACCTGCAAGTCATTTAACCTCCTATGGGAGAATGTGCTCGATACTCATCTATACTGATTTGTCAAAGGTTTCAAAATATGCTTTCATGAAATGCTTCCGTGTAACATGAAACTCAGGGTCCCGTGGCGCACGAACACCTGCACACAGAAAGTAGTCCTGTACAACACAATCCGAGAAATCGAGACAGTGATGAATCTGCTTGATCTCAGTATCTGTATACGGATCTGGTTAGAGGATCCGCTTGAACAAATCGACTACCAATGAGTTCTGTTCAGTTTCAGTCTATCCTCAAAAGTGAATAAATACCCAATAGCTGCCAGTGTTGGCCCCTCTCACTATCTGAAGCTCTCTGCATCCGACCTAGGTGGAGCCCAACACTGAAAGTGAACGTTTTGACGACAGGTTTATGCGCGAGGGGTTTTATTCCTCTTTCTGCACCCAACACGTGTGTGGTCAATTTTATTGGCTCCGACTTGGCACGCAGGATGGGACCCAGTGGTTTGAACACTTTGTTTATCGGCGGTACAGTCTGTTTACTTGGGTAGCCGATGCCCACCACATGCTGCAAAACTGATGCGTGTGCGCACACAATCTGGCGAACTTGCATAGACCAGTAGGCTTCCCCAGGAGTTAATTGATTTCGAAAAGGGAATATGCACACCTCCCGGGCGTTCGAGCCAAATATTTTATGGTCGGTGGCCACCCACTAACACCTACACGTAGCTCCAAGAGACGGGAAGCGTAGTGGTGAAAAGTTTGGCTGCGTGAGTGTGAAGACTAAATACTGAAATACACCCACACACACCTAGGCAAATTATCTTGCTCCGACTGGCGCTATAAGAGTGCCAGTTTCATAAACTGTCCTAGGTAGTTGAATAAACTGCCGACGTTGGATGTGATGTAGGAAAAAATTCAGACTCGTCTCTCTAAAACTCTCGGGTTACATGTGTACTGAGCAACATAATCGAAAAGAATGTGAAGGCTTTGAGAACTAAGTGAAGTTTTCTATAGAGGAGAATGTCGGTAGCTCAGGTAGCATAGATGGTCTTTGGCTTGTTCGCTGAGCTGGGCAATTTGGTTCCAAACGATTCACCACCAATCGAGGTGATATCATCAGTGCCTAGTTGTGCATAGCGCTACCACCACAACCACTAACCCACCGCTACGCAAAACTAGGCACTGATGATATCACCTCGATTGGTGATGAAACGTTTGCAACAAAATTGCCCAGCTCAGCGAACAAGCCAACGATCAACTAAGTGAAGTATGAAACCCGGACTGTATCCTGCAACTAAGATGAAGGGGGTTCGAGAAGCCCTACGAAGCTGTTTCCGTTTTTACTAAGAATTCTCGCCAGCATGCGTCTCCCGAATTTTAACAGTAATGAAAATTTCTACAAAGCTACGGTTAGCTGTGGACAGCAGTCGTATGTGTGAATTTCAGCTGGATGGGATGTAGTCCCAAGTATCCCTCAATTTTGCAAGTTACATCAAGTAACTTGAAGACGACAAGCTGTTCATGGGACGAAGTATACAGTATACCCGTGTATAGCCCAAGCAGGGTGATCTATTCTTGAGACTGGCCCAAGTTATGAAATCAGCAGCTAGCAAACCTCAAAGCCCTCATCACAGAATATGCCACCATCCCCTTAGAAGAAGAAAAAGTGGTCGTTCTTTTTGGGATTCACGGCTCACAAGCGTACAAAAATTTCAACAAACCCTTCTGCAATAAGATTGGACAAGGGGATGATTCTTTTTTAAAAGATTATTTTTGAGTTGGGTTGATCAGTGCGTGTAGTTGAAAAACGTCATATAGAATCACCTGCTAGAAGCCTGTACTTGGAAAAACGAGGCGATTTACTCAGCCAGTAAACTTAGTCGGATGAGCAGCTATCGCTTCCCTGGATGGAGACCCCGGGACTCAAATCACAACTGGTTAATGACAGTGGCAGAAATGGCCCAGTCGCGCAATCAGTAACGCTCGTGCATCAAAGCTGTTGCCTTCGCCTCCAAGGTTTTGTTGTATGCCCCACCCTCCTGTTTTCCGATGATTGAATTCGTGGCAGCTGAAAGCATTTCTAATGAAACCTATTTTACACGGTTTGTAGCTGATAAATTGAAAATTGGGTTGAATTACCTAGTTTATCGCGGCGTTTCCTGAAGTTGCCATGTGCTGTCAAAAATCTTAAATACCTTTGTACGACGCATAACTCCTGATTGATTCAGTTGAATTTATTCTTCCCATTGCTTCAGTATGCTTCAGTCACAGTGACTTATTTGCGCCTCAGTCTAATAGATCAATTGAGATAGCATGCGTTTATTGTTCTTCCAGGCGTCCTAACCTCTTCGAATATTTGACCACTCAACACGATAGCCACAGAAACATTCATTTTCTTCATAATATTTCATAATATTTCATAACAACAAGCATATTGCCTGAGAAGCAGGGAATCAAGGAAGTTGCTTTAATCATATGTTACACCTTTGAGGAAAGACAAACAAAGGCTTTTTGACCAGTATGGTCAGGTTACTCAGTCACCAGACAGTCATGCACGCACGCACGAACCTTCGCATACAAGCACACGCTCGAAGATGCGCGCAAACTATTTAGACAAGTCGCCAGACTAATTTCCGGTTTTAAAACGAAAGTCGTTTGGTGGACAGCGAAGTATGGATGTGCCGGCAACATTCTGTCTGATGTTTCCTGCTAAATAGGTGCTCGGGCATTTTTCAACTTCATGTTGCGTCTTGCAACACTCAACTTCATTCTAGAAACCGAACTCTGTAAAGGTTTTGACAGCACTTGTTTGGTTGATCGCCTGAATCACATCAACCGGAAGTGGGTGACTCGGCGTTGGCTACCAACATTTAGTGCTCATCAATCCTTCTGATTTGAGTGTTTCGACCCATCCCCGACTGGGTGTCTGGATGGTGAAGGGGTCCGGTAAATTGCGTATACTATTTGGTATACATGAGTAAAGTACTGAGAACAGAATATGCCGACGTCATTCAAGTGCAGCATTATGCTGATTTGTAAGCAGAAGGACGGTGATTATGTCAACGCCTAGTTTTGTGCTACGTGATGCTTGCAAAATTTTTCACTGAAACTCAGAATGCTGAGTAACGTCTTTCTACCTGAAGATTTAGTTGTCTGAGTTGTAAATAGCCGTAACCCGTTTCGTGATTGCGACACTTCATTCTGATACGTATTTTGATTGCTGTCGTTCAAACCCATCGGCGTCACAAAAACTACACATGAAAAATTTTCCCCATCACACTACACAAGTACTTCACCTTTCCGCCCACCTATGAACTCTTCTACCACTAAAAACAGAAAGTCAGTTTGAACGATCCAGTAGCTTTGAATATTTGAGCTCAAGCCTCCATTCAACTACTCCCGTCTGCTAGGTGACATGTTGCATTCGTTAGCGTGTTCAAACTATTTTTCGGGGGAATTTGTGAATCCCCAAAATCACTGTCTTGCATATTTCAAAGCCGCCTACGTCCCTCATTGGGGGTAATCCGCCGGATGGTTATAACTGAACCAAAGCCCTTAGAAAAGCTTAGTAACTCGAGTTCCTACATCCATTTTTTAGCAATTACAAACTGCCATACTCAAAGTGATGCCCCTGCCAACGGAGTTATCAGCTGGTGTTCCAGCATAAGGCCTTGCGGTTTGACGCAATAAGCGTTCGAACCAGAGCACCAAGATCAAATAAATATACAGTCTTTGGTGCAGCTTTATAGTCTGAGTACCATGAGACTTCTATCCTCGTCCTACAAGTTTGCCCAAGGTCTGTCTGAATCCCATTACGTTTCATATGATCAGTTAACGAAATGAAATGAGCGACCAGCTTTCCAACTTGTTGAAAAACGTTTTGGATTGTTTATGATATTAGGAGATGCGTTCATTCCTCACCTAGAATCTAGATTTTTCCATAATTTTAGCAAACTCGGAGGCAAAATACACTATGCACTTCCAAGGTGTTTGGATTGCCGTAAGTGTACATCAAGCTTGGATCGGCATACTCGGAGGCAAAAATACACTAGCACTTCCAAGGTGTTTGGATTGCCGTAAGTGTACATCAAGCTTGGATCGGCATACATGTTGGGTACATTTGTGCAGACCCTTCTTCCCTCGTTCTGCGATGTCTGCCATTCAGGAATTATCGTGTTAACCTCGTTTGAGCGGCACTACTAATAACATAACTTTGCCGTCTAGGTTACGAACATGCTTCAGCCCGGGTTTACTGACCAAATGGCATGTCAAAGTCATACATCAAGCGAACATTTAGTCCCAAAGTGAATGTCATCCCGGGAGTGGGACAACAACAACAACAATAACAACTGCCTTGTTCGAACAGAACTGTAGTCGTGCCAAGATGCCAGATGCACACCCGGATTTCGTCAAGCACACAGGATGACTTGTTTCCGTTTGTGTGTTGGCTTGCGCATCACCGCAGTGAATCATAAACAATACACTGGAGAAGCGAGTGATGGATAACCGACATACACGACCATACACGACACGTATTTCCTCCCGATGATGCAGAACTGGGTCACATTTGGCTGGCCAACTCTTGGTTCTCTCTTGGTGTCTAACGGGCTTCCTGAGGAAATGGAATTGATTAGAGTGGGTGACGGTAAAGCAGGTCAATCGTCCACTCCATCTAAAGCAATATGTCATGTCAGTCGGGTGCCGGCTGACAGCAGTCCGGTGGACTTGAGTCGGGGTTACTGTCATTTGTCAAAAAAACTTTTGTGCTGACAATCCATTGCGGTCCTTCCTCAAAATCAGATATATGCATCTAAAATCATTCAGAGTCCTAAACGGTCTCAAAGAGATTTATGATTTCTGAGGTCTAAGGAGACGACTAGTTCCCTGTCTACTAGAAAACAATTCATAGACCGGAACTTCAGTTGGAAAGCATATGCTCCATAACAATGCTGGCGTTATGTAGAATCAAATAAAATAGGGGTAATGCACTACTCATAAGGTCGCTGAAAATTCGTCGACAGCCCTCGACCGGTTTCGCCCTTCTTAAGACTCCTTAGTTGGGCGCAGTGCCTGAGTTTCCGTCAACCTTATGTTCTACTTGAAACCTAATTGAACGAAATTAACGAAATACACTCATTTGCAAACTAATTTGGTTTTTCGAGAGACGCACCTGGAACCCAGCTGAATCTCTCGGTTTTGATGCCTCCAGGCAACTGAATGTGCTGCACCAGGCCGCCTCATGTTTCAGTCACTCCGATATTCGAGATATCGCGATACATATATAATTCTGTGATGAACTACTCATAAGGTTGCTATCGAAGAAATTCAGTGGGTTCCAGGTGAGTCTCTCGAAAAACCAGATTCGTTCGAAAATGAGTGTATTTTGCCAAAATAAAGGTATTCTAAAGGCCTTGTAACATCGAACTGCTTTGTCAACTGTACGAAGACGGAACCTGAAGCAACGCAACACCTCTTCATTGTGAAACCGATGCCTTCAACATCCGGAGGATGATGCTTTTAAACATTTTAGATGAGTATCACTTGATTAGTACCTACCACATGGATTGCAAGGTCTGTCAGTCTCTTTGAATTCCGGTGTACTCTCTTTTGTACGTGTTACCCAAGTTGAGCAGATTGTGCAACAGGCCACAATAGATTAATTCCAGCAATCAGTTGGACCGCGTTGCGTTACGTGCTAAACCCCAAAGCCAGATCGTTCAAATGGAAGTTAATCAACAAATGCATTACTATGAATACAATAACCAAATGATAGAATTGTACAAAAATCAGATCGTGAGATTACGCCGGCTTCTATGCATCGGTTTAGGAACTGATGATTCCCAGCTGAGGAAATAAAAAGCAAACAGGATCACATTACATATAGGTAGCCTCGGATTTTTTACAGCCACAATAATCAAACTAAATGGAATGACGTTGAGTGAATGATAACAGAATTTTACTGATGCATCAATCACCAGTTTGTGTCACATGATTGTCTTCCATAAAAGAGAGTGGACAAAGGTATGCAACGGTTTCATTTGTCGGCATCGCGCGACTGGTGAGGTAATGATTCACCGTCACCAAGTAGTTCGGAGCAATTGCGAAAGGACCGTTCAGTGGATTGGAAATACATGGTACCAAGACAGACATTTCTTGCTTCAGGTAGGAACAACCATATTTTTCTCGTTACCAGCAAACCAAACAGCTTAAAATCGTTGGACGTAGTGGCCATTCATTTCAAGGTGTATACCATATCCGTTTTTCAGGTTGAATTTAAGCACAAAAACGCATCTCGTTATTTGAGGATATCCAAGCTCCTTGCAATTCATTAGACCATCACGGCTGACACACCGGATGTTACAATTAGTATTGTATGTCGGTATCCTGAGCCACAAGGAAAGTCTTGCTTAGGCTGAAAGACAAGGAGAAAGATAGTTATGAATATCCGTCGACTGGTTTTCCTCTCGACTATTGGAACGATTGTACCAGCAGCGGTCCAGAACCAATGAGGGTGGGGACTGCCTTTTGCATCTGGGTTTCTTGGTACAGGACCCACTGAATTATCAAAATATGTCTCTTTCAGGAGTGTTGAATGTTTGGATCACTCCAGTCTCATGGAAAAATTTGCAACTGGAAACTGGAAGATATCAATTAAGATTACACAGAAGCTGTCTTTTGAAAACAACGAAGATTTTGATTTCAACCGAACTTGTATAATAAACTAGTTGGCTCACACCAATATTCTAATTGGTTGGGAATTACAGGCACCTTGGTCTACCTTGGAAACATTCATCGTGTTTGGATGAAACACTCCGAGTCGATGGGGCCACGGTGGCTACGGTGTTGCGGCCGTTGTAGACACTGCAAAGATCACCTTCGTTTTCTGCGGTACATTTGTTTTCTTAAAATTCTTGCCTCATCTGAAATTTTTATTAAAACGCACCTGAGAACATGCGTGATACTTGCATCTAAAGTCAAAGATCACATTAACGTAGACGCAAAACCTCTTTAATTGGTGATCGGTTAAGTGTAACTGGGGTTAAATTACTTTAAAATACATCCGTACAAATCAGGCAATGGCCTCTGCTCAGCTACTAGAACAGCTGCAAAGGAGTAATTCTGCGGGTTTTTTCCTTCAGCCCACTGATTGTTATTGTATTTTTACATCATACAAACGTGAGTTCGACTTCGTCACCGGTTTAATCACGTGACATTCGCTTGTCCACGATTCATATCGATTCTTTCGCAATAAAGTAAATTTGTGACAAGGTGATATCTCGACAGCTTTGAGACTGTCAACTTTCATTATAGCAGGAAGCAAACTTCTTTTTGGGCTACATGTGCGAAACTTAATGCAATTTTCTCACCATTCATGGCATTTAGATTGAAATGTTTGACAGTCTTCTGCTGACTCTGTTCACTCCAATCCACCGGTATATTAAAAGCCTTTTAAACGTTTTTCTGGACGCAACAAAAGTAGACGCTTTTACGGACCAGTAAACGATACATCCAACTTAACCACTAAGGTAAGCGAAATCAGCTTTCCAGTTGACAAAAAACGAACCAAATTCTGCGCTTGTTTTCTGAAGAAAGGAATCAATTCCTTTATGTCCAGACAAAAGAACAGAGTCTTATCTGTCCATCAGTAAAGCCAGTAATTCAGGTTTTGTTGCAACGTGCGAACTCGCATCACGCGCAACTCTGATTTTTTGTTCCCGGAAAACTGCCCAGTTAAAAATCCAAGTATACCATAATCGACAGGGATCTCTCTAATCCGATGGCACCTAAAAATTATGACAAACCAGTGAATGTCAGTTTTCTATTGTAGGAAAGCCCTCGGAACTCTTACCCGCTGAAACAGACGCAGCATTTTTCTCGGCGTCACAGAAACTAACCGGTGTCCATGATACAGGAGATCCTTTTGTGTTGTGTGCAGGAACTGTGCAAGTTTTTATGATTACTAAGTGACGGAAACATTTCATAACGTACCCCTGCGAAATATATTGAGCCGTCACGATGGTCAAATCTCAAATGATTGGTTAGGTGATTGTTAGATGCGCTTTAATGAGAAGGCTGAATTGCCAGTTACCACAGTTCCACACACAGACTTGCTTCCTGCTCATAATATGTCCAAAGAGACCAGTAATAGCTGGAAAATCGTGCCACTGACAACAATACCAGCTCAGTTCAACGTGGGTTATTCAATATCCCTTTGTCCCCTTCATATATTTTTATTGGACTTTTCTCCTATCGGGTCCCTATTTGACCACTGAAATCTTGCTTTTGTGAGCACGGTTATCGATTTCAGGTGTAGCCAAAATAAATGAATTTCTTGCAGTGAAATGTTAGTACAGCGATGACTTACGTCACCCCGCCTCCACAGTGCGCACGCTAAGACACGGAGGAACTTCTATTCTACTAGTGTGCTGAGTAGATCCATTTCCCAAGCCCTACAATGTCTTGCGTTGGGCGTCGTATTAACAAAAGCCAATGGGAATTCAAATAATATATCCATGTAGAACCGTCAGATACGGACGCGTTTCGTGGTACATCAGGTTGGCACTGACCCCTTTTAGAAAGGCTGTTGTCAAGGCAGGGTGGTTTCACAAAAGACGTAAATAGATGCAAAACAAACCCACTGGTAAAGCACAATTCACGTTACAACGCCCCCCCCCCATTTTTCACCTCTACTCCTGCGTGTTGGCTTAAATTTAAACAGCGCTTTTGGTCAGGTGGGCAGCGCAGCTATGCTTTTTTCTCACTGTACCTGTTAAAATCTCTTATCTTGAGAGTTGCTCTTTGAACAAACGATCCATACTAGTGATGCATTCTTGTTTCCAAATTCGTTTGATGATCAAGCCTAGTGTGCGATTTGCACATTAAGGGGCTGAAAAAGTGTATGATCCTAAGATTAAAGAAGAATTTTGAAGTCTGTCTTCATGATATCAGAAATAAGGTATATCAAACGAAAATTGAGAACGGTCTCGGCTTTGACTTCGCCTCGCTCGAAGCACACATTTCGAATAGAACTTCAGGCACCTAAGTGAATAGTCATCAAATAGCGGTAAAAAATCATCGGAAGTTACAAAACAATGCTCATTCAACAATGCTTGTTGAGTGAGCAGCATAACCCAATCGTGCTGCTTTCCCAATATAAACTTTCTCCAGGTTTCGCGTGAACTCTTGAAGAATTTTCAGCAACCTTATGGGTAATAGACTACGTCTTTATGTGTTTCGTGATCTTTCGAATAAATCGTTCCAACTGAAACATGATATGGTCTTGTGCAGCACATTCAGCTGCTTAAAAATATCATAAACAAGAGATTTACCTGGTTTCCAGGTGTTATGCGGGATAGGTATGTTTGTTCATAGCCACACCACTCTCGTTTGTTTGCAAATGAATGTAGTTTGCTAAGTTCGTGCAATTTGGGTTCAGGACGTTGACGAAAACCCGGGGAATGTGCCTACCTGACGATCCCAATGAAGTATGAAGCAAGTCGTGGGCTGTCGAAGACTTCTCAACAACGTAATGAGGAGTGCTTTACGTGTGAACAGGAGTGTTTTCGGATGTGCAAGGGTAAGATTAAAGTTGTCATACAAGCGGACATAGATCACTTCCAGCTTAGATAAAATTTCATTATATTTCCGGATTTCGGATAGCTCGTTGCAAGTGGTCATTTGAAACACTTCAACTGACACTTCTGTGCTTTTTTAGGTGGCTCATTGTTGAAGTGTTGTTCCAACAAGGCCTTCCGAAGTACAGCAATCTAATCTGTCCACATAACCGAAGGCAAATGGTCACTAATCGCTGATGTACCCAGACGCAAAGCACACTTTCATTTTCTATACCCCGCACATGTAAACAACACGTCAATTCACCCTGTCTTTTGTCATAATCCTATTTAAGGCGCCAGTCATATGTTTATTTATTATCCGTCTCCCGAATTACACCCAAGAGAAATTCAGTATAAGTTCTCTTGGTCAGTGCAGTTGCTTGGCAAACAATTATAGTTAACCGATTTACACAGTGTATGGATTAAACTTCTGTGAAAGTCGAAGTACCGAGAGACTGGTCTTGTTGAAGTGAAGTCCTGCAGTCCCGATGAGGTGAATTCAACATTAAGAAAACTATTCACAAGTTCACTGGAATCTCTTCGACAGCCCACGACCGGCTTCGCCCTTCTCGAGGCTCCTCAGATAGGCACAGTCTCTGAGTTTCCGTCAACCTTATGTTCTACTTGAACTCGAATTGGACTGTTTTCGAGAAATACACTTATTTGCGATATATCGAATATCGTGCCAACTGAAACATGAGGCGGCCTGTGTGCAGCACATTCAGTTTTACAATATCATAAACGAGAGATTCAGTTGAGTCCCTTGTGAAAACCAAATTGAGTTGCAAATGTTTTTCTCGATAACCTTAACCTGTTTAGTGAGAACATAATGAAGACAAAATTTAGTCAAGTCGGTGGCCGCCTGAGTAGCTTCCAAAAGATAGAGTTACCTGTATTTGACTGAGAAAAGGGGGTGTTGCATCCTGTGTTCACTAGGAAAGCTATAAACCACGCTAAACCTCTGCCCTGAGTATTAAAGATAATCGAAAAGATTTAAGAAGCTACCGAAGAACGAAAATAAAACCTTCGTTTTAATCAGCCAAACCATTTGAACATTCTTAAAAGTTTTGGTTTACCTTGGAATGGTGTAGTGTAAAATTTTTCGGAAAAGTTGGTATTAAAACCTTTGGTTTGCCAATATGGTATCTATTTGTGCCCGCTCATCTTACAATTAGAAAATCAAAATAAAAGTACTTTCTGGCTAAATTCCTGCTCATGAAGAGTTGGTCTGTGTTGTATACTTATATGTTTATTGCTTGCGCATTGTTACTTCTTTTTTCTGACCGCTATTCAACTGATGAATATCAGTGATAAATCAGAGTTTGGCAGTCTCATCGGCACGATCTTGCACGCTGGTAATAAAGCCACCAGAGAACTCCGAAAATCGATGAAGTTCTGTAGGGCGAGAGAATCAAGGGCCTTTCCTCTAATTTTGTCCACCTGTTAGGCTGATAACAACGATTTCTCGGACGAGTAGCTTATTTGTAACCCATTAAAAACATTTGCATATCATTTAGAGTTTGAAAGTATGCTGACTAAAAGTTTTATTTGTTGTAGACAGTCGGCTATTACACTGTATTATAATTATATTTCGGAATAAATAATAGGTTAAACATTTCTTAATCTTGCCCTCATTTGTGACTCATATTTTAACAGCCAATGCACATAGGTTGTCAACTCTCCTTATCTGCAAATAGTACGAGGGAGTACTGAATTGTTCTAGGTGAGCATTCATCCACCGCCACGTTAATCGAAAATTACAACCCCAGCTATAAGATATAAGTCGAATGGGTGTTATATGGGCTTATGCTCCCCGGACTTAGGCTGATGGTCAATATGCCTTGCCCACATATAAGCCACAGGTTGTTTCGTGTCTAGGCACAATACGGTATCACCGATGAGAATTGGTCAGACTTGTTTGCTTGTCCGTTTTCTGTCTAAGAGAAAACAGTTGCTTTACCGAGTCAGTGAGGACGAATCAGCTCCAATTGCTAAAGGTAATGGAGAAAATGGATCCATTCGGCTGGTGAAAATTTCGTACGTCCCTCAATTTGAGCCAAACAGGTGTAGCCTTGTTTCCGGACTCGCGGACAAAGAGTTTCAGAGCTGCATCGTGGACCATCCATTGAACTGGGGATAAAAATGCTGTAGATATCTATCTGGACTGAACAGGTCAAATGCAAGACGCATTGTCCTCTCTCTCCGATTTGCGAGTTAAGGCTTCTGTTCCTAAAGCAACTATCTGATTTGCAATGAAAATTTCACCCTCTCTTGATTAGGGTACGAAAATCAGAACTATGAACACCATTTGCAGCTGAAAAAATTGAAACATTAAAGAAACTATATCTGCTTTGAATTAGAGATTGAGAAGATACACAAAATACCGACACGGCCGAATCTGTGATCCACACAACTGACGTATTCTTCCATAATAGGAGATGATTCGTCACCTCCCAAGCCATATGTACTGCACCAACCGTATGCTAAGCGGGGAGGAAGAGAGGCACCGCTACAGTGACTGAGGTGAAAATAACAGCGAAGATAAGTGACGAATAAAGTCTGACGGACTTGAACCGCAAATGGCAGCGTCGCACAACTAAGGGTCGTTTCAACGAGCCCCATGCTTTTAAGAGCGTAAGTGGGTCAAATGAATGAGCGAATCATTCACTCATCCTAGAAGTTTTATGCTGCGTAGCCATATCGTTGCATCACTAAAAACATTCTCTGGTCAATCACTCTTTTATGTTGTATTCTGGTGATACGGTGGGGCAAACATTTGTTGCGTGTACCTCCCAGATTTGATCCAGGAACTTAAAAGAGGGGGCGTTTCTACTGTAACAGGTAAATGAAATGGTAAAATCTGCTCAGGAAATTTTTTTCATTGGCTATGAAGCACGTTTACGGGGTTTTCTGTGACACGTGATAAACTGTACGTGGAAGGCCACTACTCTTTTGCGAGAAGAGTTGGTCTTTTCCGTTTTGAACAAACCCCATCTGTCCTGACAATTATTCTGGTTATATCAAACATCACGCGGTGGTACGTAGGGTTGACTCCGGACGGGAAACATGCCGGGTGATGGTGTTACTACCGGTTCACCACCTATGAGAATTCACTCTTTAGAGTTCATGATTGAAAGTGGCATCGGTGCCGACGCATTTGCCAAATACTTTGATTTGCCTGTTACTAAAGTGCATTCCCAACCTGCTTGTGAACGACTTGTGAGCAACTTTGGATGACCACATTTCGTTCGATTATTGTCTGACTGCTAACGTGTCACCAATGATCTTTCCGTGAAGAATGTATGTGTTCAGTTACACCATTGAAACCATCTTCGCGAGGAGTCTCTTAGACGCCTCAACCAGTGGGCTAACTGGTCAACTGTTGACGTTTTATGACAACATTTGTGCTATCTCATCATCATCAAATGAGTGATCGTCGAATATGGGCGTTACAAACAGACTTAATTCTGAAGAGGAACACCGATTTATGATGAGCTTCCGATGTAGTCGAGTTAAGAACTGACAAGAAGAATAGAGGTAACTCTCACCACTGGGCAAAATTCACTCAGCCAGTGACTGATGGAGCACGTAGACAACAGGTGAGACTATAAAAAGCGACTTACATGACCTTGGGTATTTAACTATCCCGGTGACGAAGACGCGATGTTGAGCAGTACAATCTGTCATACCATTAGCTCAAACATCATTTCTTTTTTTGGACACCTACTTGTGAAAGTATTATTCCCATTCAAATAATAAAATGTCGTCTAGGCTTTTCTATTGATTTTTTATCAGTTGCAATAATTGCTAGGATAACTCTTTTAATCTTGTTTCGTAACTTCATTATGCAGGTTACATCATATGCTACTGTGATACGGTGGAGTGTCAGGCTGCTGGAATGCATGAGTGCAAGGCGGAGTTCTACTGTTACACCGTGTTTAAAATCAGTTCCACAGTAAATGAGGGATCTCGAATAGGGGACGATTCACCAGCAGCAGTGGCCACACATGAACTGACCCAAACTGTCGCGGGTCGTGGTTGTGTGACCAATGACTACATGGATATGTGCGCCCGTCCACCCTACAGGACTCATTCCAACCCTGCAATGCTGATGACCAAGTGCTGTAGAGATGCATGGTGCAACGCAGACAAGGTGAGTCATCAACATGTGGTCAGCGGCATAGCGTCGGACACGTTTGGCCTCAAAGAACTGGTTTGTTCTGACAGAATGAAATACCAGAGGTCACCCTGAAGACTAAATTTTTAATGCCCCATTCTCAAACGTCTCATTCTGAACCAAACTGAAAAGCCATCTGTCTACGTTCAAAGCCATCAGCAAAGAAAAATTGAAGAAAAGCTGTTCATGAAGCGCTGTGTCAAAATGTTCATCTGCATATAGTAAGGAGAATTTTGTCCAAACACCTACAGAGTAGGGGATGTGGGGCTGCACACAATCAAAGTGAACTAGCACTTGAGAAAGCCGTATTTACTCGCCCAGGCTTAAGCAGGCGAATAACTAAATGAATAGAATCCACTCATCGTTGCCAGTAACGCTGGAATTCAAAGTCTGAAAGACCCACTGGTTAACGGGACATGTAGCACAACTGAATGTGACAAGAAGCGAACGCGTACACCAAGTTGACTGTAAAAAATTTCGCAAGAAATTTCGTAGATTACTTCATTCAAAAATGTTTTTGGAGTCTAAACTTTAACTTATTTTCTAAGGTGTACCAACCTAAGAGCACTTCAATCCACAACACACCGACGATATCATTACGATGAGGTCATGACAAAACGTTTGCAACTAAATTGCGCGGCTCACTGGACAAACCAGCGAACATCATTAGAACTTGCGCTACCGATTCTCTCTTCACTTGCAAGCCAAGCAAATATCGATCCGCGTGAAGCAGTAAACCCATCAGCTACGGATGTAGATGCTATCTAAGGAAACGAAATTACCTGACCAAAGTGTGATTACAAATACAGTACATTCTTGGAAAACAAAAATGCCAGGAAAACTATACAGCAAACCAGGTTTAGTTGATAAACTTGTGGAAAAATAAGGTTAGTGAATAAGATACGTTGCTAGCCCGATTTTCCAGTGGTCCAATAAGAAGTCCATTGTCAGCTTACCAAAGTTGGTTGAAAACATGTTTGGAAGATCTGACCTACACATGTGGAATTCGCTAGCCAGAATGCCATTCGGTCTTACTAGAAAAGATTGCCAGGCTACCATTTTTCCTTATATATGTGTTGTTTGAATAGCTTGGTTGGCAGTGGTCATAGATTTGTAACATAAGGATATAATTACTTTCGTGATGTGCTCCAATAATCTTCTACCAATGGGTGGGTTTCACAATGGGACACCTTCTACGTTCCGAAGAACGTAGTGGAGAGTGTAACGAATCACTTCATAATCGCATATTTGTCCGATTACTGACTCGGCCGAACTAGACCGTCAACAACCGAGACTGAATCATAGGCAAAGGAAAAAAACAGTATACTCTAATGACTGAATTCCAAATGTCTAACTGTGGTATCTTTTCGGAGACAAAACGCCACTTTTTCTCCTAGAATTATGTCGTATCAAGATTCGGCTACCATAGGTACACAAAGTCAATCCGGTGATATATGGTGACAGGAAATCATACCCACTCTCGGAAAATGCTCTAAGGAGAATACCTTCTTTCATGTAGTCGAAGGCTACAGGCTTTTTGCGGTTTCCTTACAGGAACATGTTTACCTTCGTCAGGGCCAGCTGGAAGGCATCGAATAGATAATGAACTTCATGGATGATATTTGAAGTCAAGATGAAGTCACGGCAGAGAGAAATACAACCATGTCAAAACAGAACCAGACGACCTTTCCACCTTGAACAATCGTCTGTGCAACAGATTCTTGGTAAATGTCCCAACAGAATCCGAGTGAATGTGTACTTGGCGAACTGCTAGCGGCGCCATCTAATTTTCCTTTGACTTCTAGGGTTCTTCTCAGGCTGGTATTGTTAAAAGAAAATGTCCGATCCGAGTTCTTAAAAGACATACTCCAAAATAGTTTAAAATACTGGTAAATCAACCATCTGCCCTCTTGTTATCTGGTTCTTTCTCAAGAAACGCAACCGAATCTATCCTTTGAAACAGGTATTCAGATTTTGGCAGACCTTTCGGTAAGCGCTGAATAATTTGCACTTCAGTTTTCCTCACCGCTAGGAATGAACTACCCAGAAATGCGAAGTAGACTGTAGCTTGAACAAACGCTCTTTCAATCCGCCCCAGGCTATTCTATCAAGATTATGAAAGACCTTACATTTTACAGAAATAATTTTGGGTGTGTCAAGACGCATCCGGGTTTTTATCATATTTGACTATTTCTCGACCTGCAGGGCTGTTGTTTATTAGCTTTCTGGTGGTCGTAAGCCACTATCGTTTTTCCCGTACTATTCCTCCAGCAAAATATAATGCATGCACATGCCTTCTGCACAGCTGCCCAGTGAGAAAACTTCCTGAAAGGTTATGGAGACCATTCTTGCAGGAAATCTTATCTTTGACAAGTTTGATCACTGTTGAGAAGCGAAATATGTTTATCCTGATTTAAAAATCAATGACTTATTAAGTAGGCTATTCCTGAGTTCCTTGCATCTAATGAAAATTGATTCCACTTTTTTCGCGTTCTTGCTGGTTTCCTATCCTCTGAGCTTATTTCTTGCATCGAGGCGCAACCAGTAACTCACCGCTACGAAACACTAGGATCCCCAATAATCCGCTGATGATGTCAATACGATTGGTGTTGAAACGTTTGCAATCAAATTGCCCAGCTCACCGAACAAGCCAACGACCAACTACGATTGTTAGGTTGCCGGTTCGGCATAACCATTGCTTTGTTCACTTTATACCCCACATTTAATCAAGAATGGAATAACTCCAATGGCAATTTGTCAAGTTCGCGTATGATACTGCATCTGGTATGCAGTATATGTTGAAACCTTCGGAAAACTGAGTTCTCGTCCACTCGCCACTCTACAAATGGCATTTCCGATACTGCATGGTACAGCTAGAGCACAATCGCTCCGTGCAAAGAGAATTCATCTCATGCTAGTCTGCCACGAACTGATCTTGGTGTATTACGTAATGGAGTAACCCAGATGATCCACCGATATATTTGCTCATGGAATCACGCGGTTATTTCATTTGCGGTTAACAGCGGTTTGACAGCGATCCCGGCTGATTCCTCAAAAAAGACTTCTCCAGCAGTAGATGGCATCATGCATGATACAGGAAACTACCCGAAAATCCACCTGGAGACTGCTTAGAGGTTTGTTCGGAAGGTTGAAGATGAATTCAACGTTGAGCCGATCCCGGTATTCACAGCTGAGTACCAGATGTGCCTCTGAAGTGTTTCGAGGTCCACATCGATGGCGAAAAGTTTGCAACCAAATTGCGCAGCTCAGTGATCAAACTAACGATTATTATTATGGCACAAGCTACCGATATTCTCTTCACTTGAAAGCCAAGCAAATGAATACTGGCTCCGAACAGTAAATCCATAAGTTATTCGAGCATTCATGAGGTCATCAAAGCAACGGACGCTATTCATGTCCACTGGAGAGGATCGTCCTGAGGAACTACAAATGAATCAGAGTGATGAGTGCTTGTGGAAAAAATGCCTCAGTCGGATGGTCAAAATGAACTTTTAAGCATCCTGAATGAAGTGATTGCAAGAATTCTGTGCATATGGAAAGAGGGAGAATTATTTTGAATTCACCCTAAGCTATATTAAACACTTGTCTTTGTGCGTGATGCACACAGTTTACATTAAGCAACTTAATGCATTGCACCGTACTCGCTCATATTGATATCAAACGAGTTTCGGGGATAGAATCGTGCGTAAATCAATGTCTGCCTTGGGTTACACTGTCTTAATCCATACTGTCTTTGCTAGCAGAGGGGAGGAAATCGATAAAACTGGTTGCCGAAATATAAATTCCTTTCATATAGGAAACTACCCACAAGGTTGCTGAAACTCTTCGACGTTGTGAATAGTTTCCTTTATGAAAATATATTACGATATCTCGAATATCGTGCCAACTGAATCATGAGGCGGCCTGTGTGCAGCACATTCAGTTGTAGAATATCATAAACGAGAGATTCAATTGAGTCACCCGTGAAAACCAAATTGATTTGCAAATGAGTGTATTTCTCGATAAATTAGTTTCCTTTATACATTTCGGGTGTATGATTTGCAATGAGTGTATTTCTCGATAAATTAGTTTCCTTTATACATTTCGGGTGTACTAACAATTTACGCTTCTTCCAAGTGGTCGATTCTCCTGCCCATTATCATTCAGCCATTTCTTATTGGTTTCACTCATCTACGGACTACTCGAAAAAAGATGAGCACTATCCACTGACTGTTTGTATGTTAGGCACTAGGATGTTCGAAGGCGTAATTAGTTTGCGTCATTTGTTCACACTCGACTCTTTACTGTTCTTTCCCACACATACAAAAGAGGACCTTTTCGGCACTTAATGTGTAACAACTTTCCTAGACTAAATCGAGTCACAATATCGCTCGTCACCTTTGAAAAAATCGCAGTTTTGATCGATTTATTTGCGAACTGCGGCTATTGAAAACTTACTAATCTACATAGTTGTGGGAAACAAATTATAAGCAGAGGAGGAAAGAAATGACATTTATGATCTGACGGCTTTCTGTGAAAACTGAAGAGTGTCGGTTGTGCAACTAGCCTTTCACCCAGGCAGAGGTCAGCGATAGCAGTGTTCAGCTTCTCGAGTAAACTGCAGAGTTTGGTGTACTTGCATTCAAATACCTAAGAAGGGTTGCTAGCTTGGCGCATATTTAATCAACCAAGTGACTACATTTAAAAGTATATTCCCTTAAAGAGAAGTTAATTGTACCATTTTTTGGCCACCGGTAGCCCAATAGTAGTTTACCTCACATAATAGGTCACATGAACGGTACAGTGTTCACTGCTGATGATTCCCGATGACCGTTAGACGAGTGGGCAGGGTTTATCGATTTGTCAATGCTAGATGACCACTTTTCACGGCATACTACAGAATTTTCCTACTCCGTTAGTTGGAAACATCATAGGGAACAAATTTGCCCTTCACTGTTTTTCAAAACTCAACATCCATCAATCCAAATGCGTTCAAGTTTGTTACTCCGGGAGTGTCACCGATCTGAAATCAATGTGTGTCCTGATTCCAGAGGTCGTGCTTCAGCGCTCAAGGAGCTCGTTTTTTCCCTCCTCAGGTAATGGCCTGCGTGTTCATGACTGTTTATGGCTGATATTTGCTAGACCTCCTACGCAGTTTGCCTTTTACATTTGGAAGCCCAACGGTTCCACTGTGAATCTCAAGGCTTGCAAGCGATACTTTTTTGGCAGCCGACCCAAGGATTACTCAGCGGCGTAGTAGGTCTTATATAAAATTACGTTTGTTTATAAAAGGTAGATACTTTCGTTCCGATAGTACTCCATTGTCAGCCTCGTGAAAGCTTCCTTTCTAAGATGAGTAGATGGTGAAAACAATCGTAAATCCATAGCTTATTTGGTACAAGTTTTCTCTTGGTATCCTCATTGCGAGTGATGGCAAATCACTGTTATTACTTCTTGGGCTCTGTACACCGCTTACTAAAGCAAGAAATGTCCCACCAACTGACTGCAAACACGTTTAAACCAACTCAACCATAAGGTTTAGGCCATTGGCTGTGGTCGATACAGACCTAGTGTATCAGGCTGTTGGCAAGTAGTTCCCGACCTTCGCTCATGAACCACGGTGACATTTTCTCGAGTTTCATTCGAACCGTGTATGCTCACTTCAGATGAATTCCAGGGATAATGTTCCCTCCTTAAGCTCTCCCGAGGAGGCTTAATATGCTAGCTGTGAAGGATTTTCTTTGGCCGCATTCCAGTTATTTACCTTGTCACCGTTTTTCGTTCATATGCAGCTTCCAAAACAGATAATCCATTCATTTCAAAAGACTTTCCTTCTATGATGAAAACTCCCGGATCAAACTGTATTTCAAACGGAAAAAACTAATTTTCCTCCGAGGCCATGCCAGCTGGTTGTTACCATTCTCAGTATGGAGATTTCACTAGACTCCTACCATGGCACTCCGTAAATGGCCTTGATCTAATAACAGAATCAAATGCCAATAAGATTGAAGGGACGGAAGATGATCAGCGAGTGCTGTGACGCTGTTGACGCCGACCGTCGGAAGCTTTGTCGTCACATGTGCCTGACAGTGTAGAGAGTGGCCTCACTTCGTCTTCCGACAGTCTTGCTTTGAAGGTGACTTGGTATCAAGATTGGAAACCTGACGGTAATTGGTTATACTCTTTTTTTTCAACCGGGAAATAGAAATATGGCCGGTACACAGAGTTTCGGTGAAAGTTGGCAAAACGGAGTAGAATCAATAACTACCCAGATGTTGTCAACTGAGAACATAATGACTATTTTTTAACAACCAAAACTTTTCTCTGTAGTCTTTAACTTTAAGTATTTTACCGTTATTAGCGAGATCCCATTGTATTTCCTTCCCAGAATTCCAACCAGCTACCAGAGCCAAAGACACAAAGCAAAATTCCGGTTTGGTCAAACCCTTTGAATGTGCATTTTACAGGGCCTGTTCAACAGCCGTTCTCTGTGCGAGCACAGAACAACCAAGACCCATCCCTTGAGTTGACGCGAATGGTTCCGGAAAAACATCAGAAAACCGTCGGACAGAGTGACCTTACGCCGGAATTGAAGCGGAGTTCGAAACAACCGGTTCAAGGTAATGACAATCTTACATGGTATTTCATGTGTTTAACTGGGCGAATCATCGATCGACCGTACTTTACAGTGGAGTGTTCTCCCGATACCCCAATTTCTTACAGTCTCTAATGTACCTAATTGAACATCTCCCTGGGTAGCCAACTTCGCATGAGAGTAGTGGACGGTAAAAATCCCCTTTAGTGCTTCCAGTAAATGCTTTACAGATCTCAGGTATCTTTTTTCCTTGTCTGAAAATGTTTTACTCAAACTCGACAGGCTTCTGTGTCTGCAGTGCGAGATTTCTATCAGCAGATGGTCATTTGTAATTTGTATCAGGTTATAAATTTCTATCGCTTATCACTACCTAAGACTAGAAAGCAGAACAAGGATTTGTCTGAACAGGACACAACGGAATGTCGAGAGAACTTGCGCTTTATTGAGCTACTTCTTTGCTCTTGATTACCATTATGTTTGAACTTGAGCAGTGGTTTTGGAAAACTGTAGTTCTAACTGGTTTCTTCCGTTATTTCCAAAATCAACAGGGGATGAGGGTCCTTGCATTGAGTGAATACATTGTTTGAATCTACATCACCCTGAGGAAATCAGGGATAAACTAGATCACACATTGGGTAAAGACTTGACAAACGCTATCTGATGAAGTGGAACCTACTGTTATTGATAAGAGGCACGCAAAAAACCCATTGCATGTTGGCCTGGAAAAATCAGAGAAGCGATACTCTCATTGAGAACTGGATCAACCAATGATTTTTGTATAAATTGCATCACTGTTTCAGGTAATACGAAAGGCGTTTGACCATGGAAACCGCGGTCAGGGTGATGTGGTTTAGCCGATATTTTCAGTGACAGGTGACATTTAATATGTTTTGGGGTATAGTGAGTACGTTGCTCTTCCACAAGCTAGCATGTTCATATGTTCAAAAGCAAGATGTCAAGAGTATACAGTGTACGCTTCCTTTCTTCGCATATAAGGACTTTAGTTTTAACCCACGGCGAGCGTTGATCGCATGCATTGTTGATTACCTCAGGGTGAATCAAACGGGCCAATTCCTGGGGATCTATTCGCGCCAATCGTAGAGTTCTATACTAAAGACTGTACGAAGTTCGTGGAAGTAAACACAGCAGATCGGAGAAAATTTTGTTTCTGTTCTTCGAAGTGTGCAAACGCATACACACTAGCATTGGGCTTGTCCTCCAATACGCTTTGGTACATATTATATGAGAAGAAAATTGAGGGTGGACTAAGAAGAATAAAACGTTCTTGTGCCGGACATAATCCATTGGACCAGCTGTTGGGTAATATTCCGTCGGTTGCTTAGCACGGTCTGTGAATGCATTCACTGTGTAATTGAGCCACTTTCCTTTCTCAGCAGCTACCTATGTTTCGCTGGTAGTGTTTAGGGATCTTGAATTTCTACCCCAATTATCGTCCTGTAGGTGAAGTTACTCTACGCCGAGAATTCGAGAATCACAATACACCTACATTCTCTCGTTTGTGGCCCGACGGTATGTGCCATGACCACTGAACTGGAGATCGTGAGTTCGAATCTCCAGGAGTTGAGCACCAAGCAATAGGGTTATAAAAAGCTGAACGAGTTAATAAGGGTTATTAAGGGTTATTAAGAGTTATTAAGGGTTGTCAAGTGTTTCTAGGTTTGTCGGCATTAAGCTAATGCACTTACGACATAAAGACTTCACTGAGGTTTCAGAGGATCCCGATATCTCCAGAGAAATTTGTGAAGGAAAGTCCAACTTACCTATTCCTTTCGAACATGGTCTGGCATAACTTCACGATAATGTAAAAACGAAGCTTCACACGCTTTTTTCCGTCCCATTTTCCACTTTGTCTAGATAAGGATCGAACAAACTCACAAGTCGAGGTCGGAGACCCAACAGATACTGGGTCGCTAGTCAAATTATTCGTTCAAAAGCCAGTGCTATTCACTTTCGGCATGACTCTGGCCGTTATGCTTCTGGTGTTCAGCATACTTCTGGCTTCAGTACTAACGTACCGTCAACGACTTGGCATCCGTGATCGAAAATGCGGTTTGGTCACTGAATCCTATGCCTCACTTCCTCACGTTTATGTGAACCGCGCGAACCATATGGGCGTTACGGCGAAAGGTAGCAAATCTGAGGTCATGGAACCGGATTTATGGACTACACGCTACACGTATGTTTTCTGCACTTTTACCTTTCTGTGAATATCTTCATATTGGTTGGAAAGACTTCACACACCGGCCAGTATACGGTTTATTTGAATTAAAAAGGCACAAAAGTCGGCAATCCAAATGCAGCTCTCATATGCAGCTCGACTGGTCGGAAAACTTCACACACCGGCCAGTATACGGTTTATTTGAATTAAAAAGGCACAAAAGTCGGCAATCCAAATGCAGCTCTCATATGCAGCTCGACTTTGACGTAGTAGGGCAGAGGAATTTGCAGCGAACTATGAGAGTTTTCGTAGCAAAAACGTTTCCGCGAACAGATCCCTTAAAGCTGAAATTAAAGTATTAATTTAGAATGAATTTACTGGGGCGAAACAACGAAATTGAACATATAGTACGCATAAAGTTGCTGAAAATTCCTCGATAGTCCAAAACCGGTTTCGCCCTTCCAATTCAGGCTCATCGGGTAGGCGCCATTCGTGAGTTTCCTCTAACAGTAATCTGCGTACCAATATGGTTTTCACGGGGGACTCATCCCAGGTGTATGCCATACTTCAACTGAATGAGCTGCACCGGGCCGCTTCATATTCATGGTGCGGACCCGGGATTGCGTCCTTCAAGTTTCGTGTTTAGACAAGATCGCAGGTTTTATACCGCGGATGTTCGCTTGGGCTATATAGCAATTAACTGTGTCTGTCATACGGTTGACAGATAATCGTTCAATGTTTACGGTGAACAGTTCCGGCAGTAAACCCTTGAACTTAAGCCTTGTTCAATCTAAAACTTGTGGTCTGGGAGCTGGTCAGAACCCAACAATTGGCTGTTTATTGTTTTCATTGCCTTCGTGGAGTGAAACACCCTTAGTTCAATCTATAGCAACTCAACAAGCAACACAGGCAAGGTTATCATGCCCGAGGTAATGGTAGGCCAGATAGCATGCCCAGAAGTTGGGTTGCATCCCATGGGAGTGATACTGACCAAATGCTCATCAAGCATGCGTGGCTTCAAATCACCCGAAGGTAGGATCCTTAATACATCATTGTTCATTAATTCGTGTTCTCTATATTAACAACACAAACAGTCCTCCGTGTTGTTCTTGCAATCATTAGCATCGTTTTTACCACTTCCCTGGGTGGTGACTTGAGGACCAATACCTGTGCATCAAGGAGGGTGTTCCTTGTGTTTCTACACTACTGATGAATATCAAGTAGCAAGAAATTGCGCTCGTGGGCAGCAGCAGCCCACTACTTGGCAAGTGCACCGAGGTTTGTGACTTCCGCGCATACGCCAGAATGATGTTCATTCCCGTTTGAGTTTTGCATTCTGGGTACTAATCTTGTTCAGGTGAATCGAAATATAGCGAGTATAAGACGCGTTAGCTTCGAAAGCAGTACAATTCATCCATTCATTAAATCGGCCTTCCACGCTAACTAGCTTGAAGTAGTTGCTCATGGTGGGACTTTCGTGATCGAAAATGGTTAAGATTAATAAATAATGTGAATAAGGAGGGTTTAGCATATACCGACACCGGATTGGAGAATTCCTGTGGGATAACGTCTTCCATTGGTGGGACAGAAAACTGCAATCGCTCACTTAAAAAGAATTGCGGGAACTGTCTTAGTAGCCCCATTCTGGTGCAGATGGAACAACTGAGGACTCGTACGCCGCCTCTTCCACAAAGAAACTTCAGTTGAAGAAAGGTTTTGCAACTCGAGGCAGGTGTTTCCCCAATGAAATATCCTCTGAAAGATTTCACTGCGCCTCTGGTTGCTACGTGGCAAACGTATATATCCTATGGTAGTAAATAGTTATTAGATCATCCAGTACCCTCAGTAAATCCACTTCATTGTAAGGCGGTGGAGTCGGAGCCAAAGAGCAAACCATGATTCGGAGCAGTTTCCTGCCCTCACCTGGCTACCCTGGCTAAACCCGAGGACAGCGAGCTATATTATTGATTTTATTGAAAGTGCATAAACTGCCTGAGTGCATGAGTGTCGGACCTATTGCGTTTTTGAAAGAATGTGAAAAGTCCTCGAACATTTTCCAGAGCCTAAATCAGCGAGTTGAACTTCTTTTATAATCCCACTTTCCAGGTACATACATGTTCATATTGTATCTCTTTGTACAATTCCTGACATGCTTCATTGACTACGTTTAATTCCAAAAAAGGCTGTTACTGTATTTAGACTTTTTTCACAGAGCATGATAGTTTTCGGAGCAAAGGCGCAGCACACGCATTATGGGAAGGCTGCATAAAATCCGCACTACGGGTTTCAGCCAGCTTGAGGCGAATCCGGAAGTGGAACAACGACTCTGAAGGCTGTGACAGTCTGTTCCTAACTTGAACCACTATTCGGTCGCAAGCGACTCTTTGGAATCAAATGTCTGAAAGATGGTCGCAGCTGTCAACTCGTCAGGGTGCTTAATACGATGTTGGTGCGACACTAATTCCGCCTGAATATTACACTGCTAATATGGTCAGTACCAAGGGTAATCTATCGAAATCTTTACACTTGTAATTAGAAACCCCTACTGAATAAGAGGGATTCCATCAAGTCTCCGGTCACATCCAGCTAAGTGCAAATGAGGACTCCTTAAAGGATTGTCTCGGGGGCTTATTTATGCGTTTTCTAACAAAACTATTGCTAGCCGATTGCTGTCAATCATGCCCATCTTTTTAGCCAGGCATTTTCTGATCCGGAATATTTTTTACCTTATTCCCCAAATATTCCCTAGACCGCTTTGCTGCTGCTGTCGAGAGAAACTGCCCAATGCATACGAATTTGGCGACGGTTTGCTAAATGCGACCTGTGAACGAAGTGCCAAGCTGGATGGTAAAATTGATCATCAATTGACGGCAAAGGGACACGGTTACAGATTCTCCCACGCAGGAGTCATTGTTAATCAAATACCTGCGATACAACAAACTTCAATGTGGGTCAAAGACCAGCAGCAACTGAATTCTAAGACGCCAAACACATCATTTAACTGTAATCTGGACCGTAGTTCATCTGGCCAGCTGGACGATACAAGATACAGTCCACACACCTCTAACCCTCGACAGTCCAACTCAACTGCACCATTCAATACATCGTGGCACATGGAATCTGAGCAAAATGGTGGTGTAGAAGAACGTGGATCCACCGGAGTGAGTAGACCCAGTGTTGGCACGGAATCCAGTGACAATACGAAACCCGAGTCTTTGTATGTGAACGAATGTTCATTACAAATTATGAAGATGCGTGGCCAAACAACGCAGAGCCTAACAGCGACCAACTCAGTTGAAGGCACAACAACGACAACTTTGGGATCTCACAGGGTACATGATATGCCAGAAGTGTTACGTCAAAGGGGTACCGGAACTACGAGTAGCGTTGGCGAAGAGAGCCGGAACGGTATGGAATTCGAGCAGGTTATAAAGAGAGAGACAGAGCAAAGTGGTCCTAGAACATCGTGCCTGTCGGTGGGCAAGCAAATTGCGGTGCAACCGTTTGTGGGTCTGGCAAACTTCCGCCGTGCCGAAGAACCCCAGGAAGAGTTGGTCACTCCCTATGCTGAAGTGGAACTTTCTTTAAACTACATTTGATCAAACAATTATTATGGAAAACCTCCCATTCAGCGGGAGTAGCTAAACATACCAGCTGATTTGTGGGACTTGAAGACGCCAATTTTGTACACCTGCATGAACATCTCAGTACCTGTACATAGGTAACATCTCGTCAATAATCTAAATCTCTTTGTTCTCTCCAGCAATAATTTTGCGTAAAAATCTTGGGATGCAGAGTACTTGTTCGGAACTGAGTGCGTCGGTAACTTTGACTGTATTATAGCTACAACTGGCGAGACACGGGAAACAAGTCAAACTCTTTCCATACCATAAACGAGAGATTGAGCTGGATTCAATTGAGTCTCATGTCAGAAACAAATTCACGTAGAATTGAGAGTAATTGTAGAAATCTGTTCCATTTGGGTCGTGGTAGAGGATAAAGTTGACAGAAACTTTGCAACTGCACCTATATGATGAACCTAAGGTAGGGCGAAACTGGTAATGGGCCATCGTAGAGTTCTCAGCAAACTTATGAGTAGTGTGTTATTGATAGGCGACAACGTGTTGCGATATCTCCCCACACCTTCCTCTATAAAGTATTCTCTGCTAATGAGAGTTCTTCTGGTCATTTTGTACACACCTATCAAATACTACTCAGAATAAGCTGTTCGGATAAATGATTTCCCGGCCCGTGGGTCAAATTTCCAAACTAATAAATTTTATGGGTCAGCTATCTAGATCGCTGAACAAACGGAGGTCACTATTTCACTGTTCATTAGACACTTCAGCTAAACAAGTAAACTAAAACTGCTCATATGGAAGAGATGAGTGTACTTCATTTGATACCACTCAAAGTGTTTCAGGGTCGGTGTATATGGAGATGTTGGTACTGTCTGGTTCGATACTGGGTGTCCTTGTCTTTGTTGGTGGTGTGAAATGTGGGGTTTACAGGCAAGAATTCTTCCCGAAAAAACCTATGGAGTTCTTTTCTCCCTATTGGGGAGTAGTGCGCATTTGGTGAAGCTCAGGGAGCTTCGAAGTCGCAACCTAATGGTCAGTGGTTGAAAACATGACTGTTCAGCTGCGAGTGTTTGAAAAACAGTTTGATGAGCTCACACTTAGACAAGAAACAGTCACTCATCCATCATCCAAAAAATCCATTTTACTTGGTCACGTGTTTGCGCTATTTGCTTTAATGGATGAACACTTACACAGAGTTATCCCAACATTCTCATCACTAAACACCATGTTCTAGGTTGAATTTTAGCTAGAAAACCACAGTTGTGCTGACAGTAACAAGCTTCTGGCTAGATGAAAGTCACCGAGGGGAACAAAACACCCCAGATTTAGCCTACCGGAAGAGTTGAGTTTGAACAATGTAGCTAGGACCAGCAAAGAACTAGTTTGGGGACACAACTCCAACAAGGAGGATGCTAACGAGAGGTCAATCTCGGCGCGGAATGCGAGGTGAAGAAGAACATCTGCTCATAGCCGAACAGGAAAGCATGTCCGATATCAAACTGGAAGACCGGGGATCACAGCCCATCGGACAAAAACTGAGAGCGAGGCTGGAATAGCGCAGCGTTTTGAAATGCCATGGTGTGAACGCTCTATAGCGAATAACTGGCTGTGATTTTTAATGTCTCTTTCCACCGCTGACAACTCACCTACAGTGCAATTTAAGCTGGACTAAACCTCCGGAATCCAACTGTTCCTGCTCATCACGTTTCGAACAGTCTTAAGTCAAATAATCCGTTAATTTTCTCCAGAGTTCAAATATAACCAAGAAGTTGGATATCATCCTCGACCCGATGGGTATTAGGTGGGGTACAGTGGACAAAGCTCGAAAGTGTAAATATTCTCTAGACATAACGGCAAAGCCTGTTCTTTTCGAGGACTCTTTGTTACGCTGATAGATATGCATTCCAAGGCACTCAGACGCACGTAAAGAAATAATCTGAAATTGGAATAATTTTTAAAGGGATTCAATAATACAGTGCATCAATATAATAATGGTTCCTTGATCAAGACCATTATGCAGTTAATTCGCGTTCCATCTCCGGTTGTATAAACTGCTTGAAAATGGTTGAGTACACTTGAAAATCCCATGTATGAATGTAGTCAGGCACTGATTAGTATAAGCTACAATCTCTGTCAAACGTCAACGACAATAACAGCAAGCCAATATGGCTCCAATGAGCACCACGACAGACCAACAGATGACTCCATCCTTTTTGTGGATATTAATATACCAGAGAGGTCACAATACGTTGAAGGATCATTTAAAATTCCCACATCTACTGCAGTAGAAAAACAGCCACTCTCTCATATTCAAAAATCACCTGCAGATGGTCGAGAATTTTACTGACACTAGTTTCTAGTTCTCTGGATGAGCAGAAGTCTCTCCCTCTCTCTCTCTCTGTGTGTAAAATTACCGTTTTATGTTCCTTCAGATTATCATGCATTTCACTCACTTATGTTGCTTTATTTGCTGTGCCAAATTCGGAAGACGCATTAGGGTCAGTTGCATTTCCTTGCCTGTAATCTGGCCATAAAATCCAGCCAATAAAAACCCATGACCTTGTGAAAATTACAATTCATTACGTCGCGTATACGCATCATGTTGATGATCATAAATTTTCATAGCTCCTCGAAAGAATGATCGGAGGTGTCGAAAACACGAAACCCTAGCTGAGATATCATTGGTAGATCTGAAAATGGGTCTATCCATCCTTCTTGATCGAACTCGGTCGCCTGAGGCAAAAACAGACTCATCGTAGACCGAAAAATTACTGACGTCCATATTGAATTCAGAGTGATGCACTTCACCAGTGAGCTCCCCTTCATACACTTGAATGGCACAGAATAATGACGACCGGACCTACAAACAAATATACGTTTCGTTTGAAAGGTTTCAAAGTACTCACTGTAAAACCATTCGGAGAAGACACGCATCCTGATGTACTTGGATAGACGGGCACAATTCACTAGGGGACTTGCTTGGCAAAAATAACACTAATTTAATAAGCAACTGGAGTTTTTCTACAAGTAACTAAGGGCTGAATGTGGTGTCTGAACAGCTTTTGGTGAGAAGGGAGAGACTGAAAGTAAAGAAAGCCGATTTGCCTAATTCGCGAATAATCCTATTTTGCGGAACTTTTGGACAAATCTGGATGAGTATCCCTTTCGATAAGCTATTCCTTAGTAAGTGAATACCCCGCTGCGCTTTTTCAGATTTCATACCATCATTCCCCCAATAAGATGGGGGTTTTGAGACTAGTAGTGGAGACATTTCAGATGCAGGCATTGGTTGATCAATCTACAGAGTGAACAGGCATTCTTTCGGTTGATTAGCAGATATACCGTTCTATTTTTTCAACTTTGGCTGCAAGTTGGATTTTTCAGGATGTTGCCCCGAGGTGAATATTGGTTTAATTCATCCCAAAAATATATCTGTCAGGGGCTGCAAGTCACGTCAGTTTCTTCTATAACAGGTAGCAGGGACTGAAACGAATGAGGCAGCTTTTGAGCAAGAATTATGTCTCCTAGAGAGCAGTCTTAACGGAAGCGAAAACCCATTCCAGAAGCAGTTGGAGCCTAGATTTACTCAGAACGTAGTTCTAACGCCCTCCACAATGTGCGACCCACCACACAGCAGCTTTCAACAATAGCTTCGCCGCCATCAGAATCTATATGAGTAGAAGTGCAGCACAGCAACCGTGCACTGAAATTGATAAGCGTGTGCAGTCTAGTTCTGTGAAGGACGCATTCGCTCTTCTCTTCAACTTGTCAATTGAACCTTGCTGACAAATCGGACAGCATAAGTCGAAACACGAGAAATAACTGACCGAACGCGCCATTAGGAGGCATTAGGGCTCGGGTAAAGCGCGTTACACCAGAGAACAGCGCCGCAATGATCTTGGCATTTTCATGTACGATGACTGCTCTATCTTGCGAAGAACACGCGATTTCCGGTCGAAAATAAATCACACAGGTTCATGGCATTACCGAGAGTAAGCAACAGTATTACTTTCGAGAAACGAACATGTTGCGGATGATGATCATGTTTGTCTCAAGACTAAATCTCTCATAGTGGCATTTCGGTCTTTCGAATTTTTTGGATATTATTGTACAACTGTAGTTTCATGCTTAGCTTTGTAATAGTTCGCTAAGTTACCCCAGATACATGAGATTAGCAAGGCGATGTTTAGCTGAAGGCGACTTTGACACTATACTCATAATAGGAAGACAAAGACACAAACCATTGACATTGCACAAATGGATTGTCTTATTCCACCACCCAGAAGTTTTTCCTTCGCCAGTTCGCGAACGTTTAGGGTCATTTACATATGCAAACAACGTTACTTCCATCAAACTGGTCTGGCTCGCAGTGCCGTTAATTGCTGATACGCCAAATTGTTGACTAGTTGACGATCGATCGGTTGTCGGGCGTGGGCGGTGTGTCCTACAAACATAAGGAGCATTCCCTGTGAAAACTGATCTTTTCATGATATTGTCACACAGATAACAGAGAACAACTAGTCTTCGCAGGCGACAACGGAACACGTGTAGGAGCTATACTCATCCCGCGTCCGGAACTTCACTCGGGAACTCTCAACAGTTGTTCTCAAACGATGAATCTCCCGACTTATTTCATTTTAGCCTCGTTTGTATTTTTATCATGTGCACCCAAATATCGTAATCATCATCATTCTTATAAAGCAGACATTTGTTAGCGCTTGACATCTCATTGTAAATTTAATCACCTTACAACTAGAGCACTAACAGAACCCACCTGAACCTCTCGTTTACGATGGTGAATCTATTTAGCTAATTTCACGTAATTTGCGTTCAAGCAGAACCTAAGGTTGACGGAACCTCGGGGATCGTGCCTATCTGATGAGCCCGAATAAGGACGAAACCGATCGTGGGCTGTTAAAGTTTTCAGCAACCCTATGAGTAGTGTGTTGCGTCTACACGATGCTGAGGATGATCCGCTTAAGAAAATGTGGTTGAGGAAATTTATTTTCCTTCGTAAGTAGTCAGAAGAACAAATATTCACTTTTCTCCGGGTGAAATATCTGATCAAGTCTCTCCTCCGTTGCAAAGGAACAAGGCCCTCGTAA